ATTTCTAAAATACCTCAAATCAAATATATTATAGGTGGAGGAAAATTCTGAAACTTGCCAGAAATGGAATGTGGGTGCTCTACCTAAAACCTAACCCCACCATTTAGAAGAAAGTGGAGACAGATCACGCAACTTGGCTACAGGGTAGGACGGGAGGGGTGCCCACCCCAAACCCGCCTCGTTTCCATTCCTCCAAAAGTGGGCTTCCTTCTTGTAACCTGGGGGCTGAAATTTGTCCCACCAATAAGAGCAGAGAGGATAAAAATACAAGGTTCCTTCGTGTCCCACATCCCTAAAATCTCACTCCAGCCTGTGCTGCTATGGTCGGGCTTGGTCAACCCGAATTGCACCCGCGACCCGTCTCATGTGGTACCCCTGGTGATCCGTACCAAAGTGAGGAGGCGGAGCTCGTGGGAATCCGGGGCCCACTCGACCACCCGAACACAGCTGCAGCGTCGCAGAAAAAGTTGTCTACATCCTTTAAGCCTATACGGTCTTTTGCTTTCTACGTTGTCCCCCGTAGAAGCCTATTACACGCACCGCGCAGCCTACCTAAAGTACCTAATCCTGGACGGAAATTGACCTTCTCACAGTCTCAATACGCCGTGTCACACAAAAGCACGACCATTGAGTCAATGACCCAGCAAAGGGAAGAAACCAATGAAGCCCCCCTCTTCAAGATTCGGATCAAACGATTGGGAGCAGATATTTTCTATTTCCCTAAACGCCCTTACTTTGTATTGAAATTACTAACCAAAAATGCCCTCGCTAGTCAACGAGGGGGAACACAGGGAAAGTGTACGGGGCGTGATGATCTGCGGTGTGTCGCTTCGCTTTTTTCGCGGTCGTTCAAATTTGTCCATACCATACTCCGCTTTGCTTTTCTCAAAAGAATGTATGAAAGTAGGACAGGAGGGGTAATGATTGCTAGGGAGAAAAGAAGGCGAGGGCGGGACAGTCCGGAGGAGGCTTCACACTGCACAGAGCGCACGTTAGCGTGCAAGCGAAGCAGCACGCCTCAGGGGGCACGTGCCGACAACGTCCGACACGTGATGCAGTTGTCGGCTACAAGGCTCACCGTCCCTGCTCATCGCTCATGATTTTTGCCGGATTTGTCAGCCTCCGGCACGCGCTAGCTTTTTGCTCTCTTTTGAGCCCTTAGAAACCCCTCATCATGACGCCACGTGGCGAGTTGCTGACGTGGACGAACCGGGACCTGGCGAGTCAATCAAAATCTCGGGAATGGTAGTTGGGTCTTCTGAATTTCTCGGTAGGATAAAAGATTAAAATCTCCATGGTGGTTACTGCCGACGACATTGACGGCCCCTGGCTGGCGATTTTTCCGGCAGGAGTACCGAATACCGAGTACATATCCCCTTGATCAGAGTTGGGACTTGGGCGTTGTTGTACGTTCCGCCTTCATGTATTAACTTCGTATTATAACATGTTAAACCTTTTGCTGCCATGGCTTGAACGGTGTGCACAAGGAGTGCAACCTGAAAGAGCACAAGTTGCAACACATTCCTTTTTGGGTTGAAAAAAATTAAAAGATATCAAGGGTCCGTTTGGCTTGCGGGAATAGGGTCCGGGATCAAGAATCCATTCCCATTCTATTCTCTATTTGAGGGGATGGACATTCATTCTCCCTTCCTTGGGAATCCATTCCTATTCCGATTATAAAGGAATAATTAATAGAGATGAAAAATATGCCAAAATATATATATATATAGATATATATATATATACATTTTATGAACGTATTGGTTTAAAAAATAAATTAGAAGGCACAATTAAAATGTATTTTAGTTGATTTACAATGTCAAGAAGAAAGATTGAAAGGGGTTGTTGCTTGAGAAAATTATGTGCTTGTTTGGAATTGATGGCATTTTTTGATGATTGTTTTTTGAGAAAATGGCAAATGGCATTATTTGCTTGATTCCATTGCTTCACCTAGCCGTTTTTCAACACCACATTAGCAAATTGTTGTTAGCAACGGTATAAAAATGAGAAAATGCCAAAAGGGGTGTTTTCTCAAACTATGCCATGGTTGAAAAAACAAAACGTTTTTGAGAAAAAACATCCAATCAAACAGAAACTAATTTTCTCAAACACTGAATCTCCAATGTGATAACGTTTTTTGGGAAAACGACATCGGCTCCAAATATAGCCTGCATTGATATCAAGCATAACAATGGAATTGCAAAAGAGGATTCATGTTGATGACCTTGTATGGATAATAGATGATGATGATGATGATGATCCCAAGGACATAATTAAATTTTCCTCCCTTAATGGCCGGTCTATTACAAACAAGGTGCGTACTACGCAATACATTCTTGATAAATACATTATTGATCCATTAGTTGTTTTTTTTTTATTTAAATTGTCATATAAGATAAAAACAAAAACATGTTATTAAACTGTGACTTTGTTTCGAAGAATAAAAATATTTTGGTTTTCTTAAAGAAATAATATATATTTTTCAAACCATTAAAATGTTTCTAAAACCAAAACAACCTTTGCCACATCGTGGTTGGCTTGAAAACATGGTTGGTTTTGTTTTTGAAAACAAAAACAATTGCCACATTAACAAAAACACATCCATTATGAAAACATGATATTAAATAAATATATGAAAATTCAAGAACATGTTTTAATATTAGAAATGAAAAACATATACATAACCAAGAACACGTTTTCTTTTTTTTTTTTTCTTTTTAATAACAAGTAACGCAATTTACATTGAAGAACATCCCCCCTTGTTATGATATGGATTAGCGATTCGAATTAAAGGTTGTTTGAAAAAAAAAAAAAAACAGCCTAGGCTTCTTTTGAGCTTCTTACACATGACATGGTAATTGGTATGGCGTGTTACAAGGGACGGCAATTTCCACCCTGCCTGGCAGGTGCCTACCTATACCTTCACAGGGGTTTGGGGGTGGAGACAAGTTTTAAGATTTTACAATCCATATAGGTATGGGTAGGATATGATATTAGGCTAGACACAACCCTTCCTCACTTATCTATTGAATTTATTAAAATACCCATAATGTTTATAATCAACTTTGTCGTTTCATGGAATTTGATCTTATATATTAGAGAAAATTTCCGATCAGTACCTTGTATTTTGGCTCGAGTGGCAATTTGGTCCCCGAACTTTAAAATGCGACAATCCAGTATCCGAACTTTAAAAATATGACAATCCAGTACCTGCCGTTAATCAATCATTTAAGTGACATTTGAAAAGTCAAAAATACCTTTCGAATGACATCTAATTCTTCAACCATCCAAACATTGACAAAAAACTAAACAGTCTCAAATCTTAGACTCTTCTATTCAAAAAAATTGGTGACTGTTTAGAGAATTTAGAATTTGAGACTGTTTAGTATTTTTGTCAACGTTTGGATGGTTGATAAAGAGAATTAGATGACATTCTTAGGGCATTTTTGACTTTTCAAATGTCACTTAACGACCGATTAACAATAGGTAGTGGATTGTCACATTTTGAAAGTCTAGGTATTAGATTGTCGCATTTTAAAGTTTGGGGACCAAATTGTCACTCGAGCCAAAATACATGGTACTAATAGGGAATTTTCCCTATATATTATGTGTTGAGTTTAATAATGCTTTGAATCTTATGTGAAGGATAATTGATAGTTTATCTTCTATATGTTTCAATTAAATAAATAAAAAATTTGATGTTTATTCATATTATTTTACTTATTTATTATTTATATATGACAAGAAATTAGATGTTTTTTTTTACCAAAACTTCCACCCATGATATAGGGTCGGGGAGGGATTAGATTCTAACAAATATTAACTGTTGTAGGTTTTAAGGAAGATACAAGTTGGAGGTTTGGGAAAATGGGGAGGGTTTAGAATTTACCAAATTCACCCCATTGCCATCATGGGGTGAATTCAATATTCTTTTGGGCTCAGTTTGGGAGGAGGGCAAAAACTTGATCTGAGGTATGGAAGAGTGCAAACACAAGGTTTATACGACTGTATAGGCAGAAAACTTTTAAACAGCCCAAGCTATTTTTTCGAAACAGACACTTTTAAGTTCTAACACAGTTATCATAGTATCCTGTTGTTGTACAGACACTTGTAACACAGCTATCATACTATACTATCCCGTAGTACGCATCCTGTTTCTAACAACTATCAGATGGATCAGCAACTGGCCTGTTTGCTCATGATTGGATTACGTAGCGTGTTGTACGCATCGTGTTTGTAGCGGAGATCAGGTGTCGTTTTCTCATTCATCATTCATATTTGTTCAATGTTTGTGTCAAACACACATTTGGGGCAAGAATTTTAAGCTGAATTTTAGCGGGTAAAATGATTAAATAACAAATATTCGACGCTATAAATAATAGTCAACCCAATTAAATAGTTTTTAAGTCATTCAATTCATCTGTTTTCAAGTGGGCTCCACTGTCCCAGATGTTCTCTTCATCGTAGATTTGATCACTTAGAGAGTGATGAAGCCATTTCGACCCCATGATCGGCATCCTTCAGACCCACCCAAGACTTCTTTTGTCTTTAATGAGACACCTCAACAACGATAGAGAGTCCATAATTGATAAAAACCACCATTTCCTTATTCTTCTTCTTCTTTCGCTTTTTACTTTTTTATTTTTCAGAAGCCCAAGTACGTGAAACCGACCGCTGATAGATTGAACGACACCCTGAGACTTGAGACTTGAGTTCATCCTACCAATCTCTATGAGAAAAGATTCCAATCCTACGTCATTTGATCTAAATCAATATGTCATCTTGACCATCTACCCTCCATCTTCTCCTGCTTTATTTCACTGGATTTCGATTTCAACGACTTAGAAGTTCAGACACAGATCATTCAATTCAAGCTATATCAATCGAATCGTCATTCTCGTCCAAGATTGAAATTTTTGAGAGAATCTCAAACCCCATTACCACACAAACGAACGCCATGAATTTGTTGTTCAAAGCAGCTCGTTAATTGAAGGATTAGATTTTAGAAACGAAACTGCACGAGTTCATGAAGGATTTCAGAACAGGAGAAGAAGAAACACTTCTCCTGCAACTTACAGATAATTTACTTACAAGCTTTTAATTTCTTTCCCCGAATGTTAATTCTTTTTCTGTTTCTCCGTACCTGCACCATGACCTCAACGTCAAGAGCATAGCGGACCAGACGAGATCACCAGAGAACAAGTTAACACAGACGATACGATACACACAAGACCACCCACAAGCACCAAACACACAAAGCAAAATAAAGAAAAAAAAAAAGCAGTCGGAAGAACGAGGAGGAAATTCATGTTGTTCTCCGGTCGATCATTCGACGCCTTTTAGAACGATCGCCGGAGTTAGATCGTTCCACCAAGGTTTTCAAGGCGTCCCGTAAGAAACCGATGGATTCGTCGCTGTTGTCTCCCTCTCCGGCGACGACTAGAACGTTCCGGACTCTACCTCCCAACGTCGCCATTTCTGCTCGGATGGTCTTCAGGCGGAGGGATTTCAGTGTCTCGATCAGATCGGGCAATAAATCAGATCGGTCTTCGCAGCACAAGGATGCTTTCAGAATCAATCTCCCGGTACCGGAAAAGTCACCCGGGAATACAGTGATCTCGTCCGTCTCGGAAGGAAATAGTTCGAGCTCGGGAATCTCTGAGGTCTGCTGCTTTAACTCTTTGACGTGTTGAATAACCTTCGCCAACAATGAAGCTTTGTCTGTCTGTGGAAGAAGGAATTAAAAAGAAAAAAAAAACTATTAATAATAAAAAAGCTGAGGAAAACCCTAATTCAAAAAGAAAAAAGATAGACTCAGCAACTTTCCCAAAACACCTTTATTTCTATCCTTTTTGTCCAGTTACTGTCTCCGACTCTACCATTAAAGAAGCAGAAGAAGGTTCAAAAGATATCCATGGAACCCAAAAAAAATCAGAATCTGAAACCCAAAGAAAAGCTCATGAACTCTCTTTTCACTGTTATCACAGTTCTGCAAATCCTAGCTCCAGAACTTAGGAAAAAAAAAATAATCTTTTTTAAAAGAAAAAAAAAATCCATTAGAAGCCCTCCAAGCCTCGTAATCGAAACCCAGCAATGAACGAAACATGACTGCTAAATTCAGACTCGGAAATCATCTTCGTCCAATCAAAAAACTCTGATATCTTTCAAAATAACTAAGAAGTAAATAATTAAGAAAGTTTCTTCCTCTTAAAACCCTAACTCTGCATAACCTTATTGCACTTATAATTAAACAATCACACCCCAACAGCGGGAAATTCACAGAAGCTCTTCAACATTAGAAAGAAGAAGAGAGGGAGAGAGAGAAAGGAGAGGGAAAGAAAAGAGAAGACCTTTGAATTGCAAGGAAGAAGCGTCCGTAGCTTATCGAGATGCGAATTGATTCTCTCCCTCCTGCGTTTCTCAGCTTCCTTGTGATTCCTGGAAGCAGCAAGAGCCCGAGCCTGTGGCATATCCGTAATTCCAGACATCTCGAAAGGATAGAAGGAAGAACCAGAAAAGCTGGCGTTCGCCGTAAAATCAAAACTGGACGGAATTCCGTAACCTCCCACGTCCATCCCACCGTTACCAGCCAGCAACAACCGGTACAATTCTGAGCTTCCGGGCAAGTTCTCCGGCTGCATGTGGACTGTTGATGGACTGACGACAACTGACTGACTGTGAGTGAAGGGTTGGTTGGTTGGTTGGTCGTGTTACTAGGGTTTCTGCGACTTCGGTCGTTCTGCAGTCTTTGCCGTTTCAGATATAGCCACAAAAAGGTGACCCGTTTCAATTAATTTATCGCGCCTTTTTAAATAAAGTATCGACTGGTTCGAGATTTTCCGGTCTAAGTTTGAGGCGTGAGGCACTCTGGCACTGAGCTGAAGCTTCCCTTCCGATGATAGATACACCCAATGGTCTATCATCCCATATACGATAAAGTAACGGGCTTAACGGCTAACCGTAACTGTTTAAATATCCATGGCCTATGGGCCTGAATTGGGCCTTGTTATGTTTTTGGGTATTTGAACCCAGTAGTTCAGTACCACCTTTGGACATTAATTGGTCCAATTGGTGCAGGGTTCGGCTTAAAATATGTCAGAGAATGTTGTTTGATTGTTTCTGCTGCAGATATTTAGGTCCAGTTTATATGCACTGACGTAAATGCATGCGAGTGCAAATAGGCTGAATATAAATTCTGATTTGCTATTTGCTTTAGATATGATTTTTGTCTTGTTTGGTTGTGAGAAGTAAAATAGGAATCTAAATGATGTGGTCTCCACCTTTTATGAAAGAGAAGAAAGGTAGGAGGGCTATTCACCTATTTGTTTTGGAGTGAATAGGAAGCAAGGTGATGTGGTCCCCATTTTATATGACGGAGAATTTAGGTAAGAGGAGGGTGGTGCAAAATTTGCCAGTTTTTTGGGTGTAAAATTTGCACTGCCAATGAATGTATATGAGACAAAGAGTACAAATTTTATATCAGGTACGTGTATAAATCATAGTGATAAACAAACAAATGGATGAAAATTTGAACTGGGTGCAAAATTTCTATCTGATTCAGACAGATACGCAAAGCAAAGAAACACTGCCTGCCCCATGGACAAAAAAAATAAATTTTATGAAGTTTGAATCAATACTTCATGAAAACACAACATTCAAACCAACTTCACAAATTGATAGAACATATACATTTAAATTGAACCGACTAGATGGAATTCCACTGCACTAATAACAAATCAGTTAACATTGCTAAAGATAGTTTGAATATTTAATCAAGAAAGGAAGGAGTGGTGGATTAGGTCTTAGTAAAATTACAACAGAGAGCAAATTTTTTCCAACTTGTGAGCAGCTGAATTACAAGGCCTAGGAAATCGTGCTATCGTGAAGACTAGAGAGGGAACTCTTTGCATCCTAAACAGTTTCTAGAAGCCCATAAACGAAAAGAAAAGAAGAAAAGGGCCCATAATAAGTGATGAAGCTTAAAACATCCATTTTCAACTTATGATATGACAAATAGGGCTATTTGAATTTGATCCGTTTATATTTATATCAAATATGGGTCTACCATTTATAGTCACATATATTCCGATTTGATTCAATTTAAATATATACTTAAAATTTATATTATATCTATAATTGAAGTTGATGGGAATATTGTATATATGCTCATATATACTTTGTTCAATCTCTTTTCTTGCATCCTGAGAATATCAAAGCTGTTAATGGTACCAACATTGTGTTAATGCCCAGAAAAGAAGGTCTGGAGTTAGTGTCTGATTTTCAGCCTATCAGCCTCATAAATGTCACTTACAAAATTATTGCTTCAAGACTGAAACACCTCCTCCTTAGACTGATTTTTCCAATGCAAACGGTTTTCACTCCTGGGCGACAGATTCTAGACAATCGGATCATCGCCTTTGAAGTCCTTGATAGTATTCATAAGAATAGAGGTAGATATGAAACTTATCCAAAGCTTGTGACCATATGGACTGTTCATTCTTACTATCAATTCTGAAGATGTGGGGTTTCTCGAACTAATTTTGTCATATAATTAATTATATGCAGTTCAATGCAATAGATTTCTATTCTATTTTGATTAAGGGAATACCATCTGAACAATTCCAACCACAATGGGTCTCCGTTAGGGATGCCCTCTCTCTCCTTATTTATTTATCTTGGGAATTGATGTGCTGTCATGTATGTTTATGAATAGTTTATAGGCTCACAAGCTCTTGTTGGAGGAAAACTCTAATCCTCCTTGGAGTATCCTTACTCTCTTATCAAATTGCAAGAGTCTCCTTAATCACCTTGATGGTTCCTCAGTTACTTTTACTCCAAGATCTAGTAACCAGGTAACTCATCACATAGCCAAATTTGCTCTTACTTGTCTCTCTACTCAAACATGGTCCTCTACTTCTAAGTTTATTTCTTCTGTAAAGTTGAATGAAGTTGCCTAAGGGCTTTCAAAAAAAAAAAAAAAAAATCTTTGTGGCATTCAATTAGGTTCAGGAGGTGTGGCTTTAAATCATATAATGTATGCATACAACACCCTCATTTATTATAGAGGTTCTATGCGGGAAGTCACTCCAGTCAAAGCCAACCTAGACAATTTTTGTTCTTGGTCAGGTTAGCAAGTAAGTTATGAAAAATCTTCTATTTTCTTTGGTAGAAATGTGCACCGTTGAAGTCATACTCGAATGACTACTTTATTGGGAGTAAAATTAAGGAAGAATGACGGTTCAGCCCAAGGTCAGAATTTTTAGGCCTAAAGTACAGTTTGAAGGGATGAGAGATCCATCCCATGGACGCCCAAAGATTGCGGAATAAGGGGTGAATTTCAAAAAAAAATTCTCTCCCTTCAACTGGGAATCACACTCTCTGTTTAGAAAATCATATTTTCAATGATCATTCTTGAACCTTAAACTGAATCAGATCTGAACCAAAAGGAGTAGGGGAGAATTATACATGATACGGAGAAGTAGTATCTCCCAACGGAGGTGTTCACGCCCAAGGAAAGATCCAAAAACTGCTCTCACTGAAGATGGCGCAGTGCAGGATGGAGCAGAATCAGCAGTGTTCTTCTCCAAGAACTCTGTCCTTCGCAAGAATCAGCAGGATGGTACATGAGCACA